CCGTGTGTGTGTGTGTGTGTGTGTGTGAGAGAGAGAGAGAGAGAGAGAGAGAGAGAATGCAGGGAAATGGGAAAGAGGGAAGCAATGGACACCCCCCCCCCTGCCCACACCAATTTGGTCAGGCAAGAACTCTGGGGCAGTTTACTCGGGGAACTCAACCTGGGCTGAGGGAGGTGAGGCTGGATTTCCATTCCAGTCTTAAGAGGGTTTTGACTGAGGGGCTCCAGGAGAAAATGGTGGCAAAATAGGAGGGCAGAGGTCACGTCAAGGGCATTGGGCTGACGGCCTCTGACGGCCTCTGGGGTGGGAAGGGAGGACTTTGGTTGCATCCATCTTTGGTCAAGCCGTGCCTTCCAGCCCACCAGGTGGGTCTCTTGGTTCCACGTTGGCATTTTGTTCAGCAGCCTCCAGGCAGGGAGGGCTTCCGTGGGCGCCTCTGAAAGCCGTTGGTTCTTGCTCTCCCTTTGAGAGGGTGGCTGCAGGGGCAACAAAAATACTTTTTGCTTAAGCTTTGAATGTGAGAAAGTCCCTGGATCCGACTGGATGTAAGGATGGATCTGCAGGCTTCCTCAAGATCCCAGGCCGCCTTTTCCCCAAGGCACAACCTGTGTGGTGATGACGTGTCTCCCTCCCCACCTGGTCGTAGGGGGCCAAGCGGGACTTCTGCTGAAACCTACGGGGAAACAGGAAGGACCAGCCAGACAGAGATGAGCAAATGACTGGCCGGGGATCCTGGAACCACCTTCTCTTGCTGGGCCTATGCCCACCCCCAGTTCCTCTTCTCCCCGCCCACCCTCATTCTCCCTCCCACCCAAGGGAGCCTGTCACCAGCCTGTGTGCCCTGCACCCTACTGGAGGCCGGCTGGGCCGCTTGGGGAGGGCTGGGGGACTCCCCTCCATGGCCCTTCCGGGGGGTCCTTGACGGAAATCTGTGTCCCTGCAGCCGCCGCTGCCTGTGCGAGCCATGAAGTTGGAAAGTGCAGCCGACTCGCAGCTGGAGTTCGCCATCGCCACAGAAAGAGATTTTGAGGAGATCCTCGCCATCTCCAAGGGGATCTACGGAGGCCTCGACTACCTCCCAAGCCGCTATCATGCCTGGATCCATGAGCCGAATCGCACCGTTGTGCTGGTCAAGAAGAACGGCGTGGTGGTAAGGGCCAAGCTGTGCTGGCTCTTCTCCAGCCTTCCCGAGTGGAACGGTAGCCGGGCAGCCAGCCCCTTTGCCACGGGTGGGTGGTGGGTGGGGAAGAGGCTGGTGGGGAGCAAGGTGGTTCACTGGAAGGAAGGCCCTTGGCCCCTTTCCCAGAGAGGAGGCCTGCCTCCCCAAGGGGGTGGTCCCGGGATTTCCAGCCCCCCCAGCCTTCAAGGGCCACTGCTGCATCTTTCTGCCTTCAAGAGAGGCCCAGAGTCCAGACAGGCAACCGGGCCTTACAAGGGCAACTGACCAAATGGGGAGCAGCCCCTGAGCCAAAGGGGGGGGGGCAGGGCCTTGCCCGTCCTTGTGCCCGCATCCTGTGTCAAATAATGGTCCCAATTACAGCTTATAAACACACGTGGCCACAGAGGCATTTGGCTGGGGGCCAGATCGGGCTAGCTGTGCCCTCCCTCCCTTTCTGTGTTCTTCACAATGGAAGAAGAGCCACTCCTGGAGCAGAAAATGCTTCCTGGGGGGCCTTTCGCTTTGCTGAATATGCCACGCTTGGTGAAACACCCCCCCCCCCCCCCCCCCAACCCCCCCCGGGGGACAACCCCAGCCCGCGGCGGGGGCCCCCCCCCCCCCCCCCAACCCCCCCCGGGGGACAACC